CCTCTTGCTTAGCAGGCAGCAAACTACCCTCCAAGCCACACATGCTCCTTGAAACAAGTGTGTGAGGTCACTGAGGATCAAACTACGGACCTCTTGCTTAGCAGGCAGCAAACTACCCTCCAAGCCACACATGCTCCTTGAAAAAAGTGTGTGAGTACAATGAGGTTCAAACTATGGACCTCTTGCTTAGCAGGCAGCACACTAACCAACCAAGGCACACTTGCTTCTTAAAACAAGTGTGTGAGGTCACTGAGGATCAAACTATGGACCTCTTGCTTAGCAGCCAGCACATTAACCAACCACACTAAATCTCACTGTTTTCTTACCCATGCGATTGAAGCTGTCTTCATATTGAGCGTTAATCTCTATTGGAGACATATTCCATCTAAAGAGGTAGTAGTTTGAGTACGAAAAAAAGTTAAATAAGTGGATACCATATTGTCCTCTATACATGCTCTAAGTCACAGAGTATGTAATTTCCATATGTTAGTCTTTACTTACTGGTCGTTATCTCTTTCTTTTCCTATAAGTTCGTAGTTCTTTTGTACCCAGAATTTCTTCAAGGACCATACGTTTTCGAAGTATGTCCATGAATCAATGACGACCTGTAGATTTTCATGGATCGACAGACTTCTTTAGCTTGGGCCAATGTTTTCTCATTTCCAACCATGTGCTATTCTCTTGAGAATAAAATTCTTTGTTCAAGTTGTATGCATATTCGTGTGCCTTTCCATGAACGACCATCAAACAAAGAAATGATATGCAAGAGAATGACACGTGGTCTGAAATGGGAAACATTATGCTCAAGGTAAAGAGGTCAGATGTACTACATTTATAAATTTAAGAATTAGTTAAGTGTTGAGCATTTTAGACCGCTCTAAATGAATAAAGTTTCAAAAAAACTAAATTAATAAATTGATAAAATGTTTGGAATTGCACCTTTAAGGTCTACGATAGGTGACAAATAAACGTATGTTACCCCAGCTAGTTAATGGTGTGCGAACAAAAATCAATTTGTTTGAATTTTTTACTTACGTCATCGAATACCAGGTCTAATGCAGTGCTATTTAAGATGAAATCAGGGTATCCAATCACCTCCTGTAGCGACTGAGCCTGTAAAAGTAACATTCGTAAAATGGGTCCCCATCATTGAATTATTCATATTGTTCATTTTATTCATCCAGCCCTCCAGCCCTCCAGCCCTCCAGCCCTCCAGCCCTCCAGCCCTCCAGCAAGTCATGTTAAGCTTATCAATTCGGAAAAACATCCTTCTTACCTTTGTTTTTGCTTTTTCATTTGTTTTTCTGTCCATCCAAAAGTTGTTATCAAGATTTGATATGAATTCATTACGAATCTGTTCTGTCGCATTTAATATCTGTTGGATTAGAATGGTACGAAGTTATATCAATTATTTATTTCAGTCGCAAGAGCTAGTAAGCACAGTAATTCTATCGCTCTTTATAAGAAGGATAAATCGATATTACTAAACGTCATTTTTTGATAATTAGAAGCGAGAATAGCGTAATTCCTTGTTTTATTTTCTTGTTTATTTTGGACTATTTCTTTCGGTGAATAGTTATCCAAGCGGTGACTTACCCATTGTTTGTTCCCTTTAAATTTCTTGTCGACGAACACTCTTGTCAGCGGTAATGCAAACCCACGCATGCTCAGAAGTTGCTCCATACATGTAACTTCTCTGTCAGGCTGCTGCCAGCTGCTTCCTGATGCAGCTTTGTAATCATGATAAATGTCAACAAAATCCTGACCAAGATGCAGGTAAAAGTCGTATACGAGTTTCCACATCATGTAGTTGGCCAGGGTTCTGAGGTTAGAGTACAAATAAAGTTTGTCAGGATATATTTAGACTAAAAGCCGGTTTAGACGGTACGATTTTCGCCTACATCTATCGTACACAACACACTCGCGCCATCCTACAACTCGAGTCGTAGCGTGTAAATCAAGCCTACAACTCGCCTACGACAGACGCGAGCGTGTTGTATACGATACAGTTGTAGGCGAAAATCATACCGTCTAAATCGGCCATAAGGACAAGCATCCCATGCAATTCCTTATGAAATATTCAACTGATTGCTTTAAAAGGGGTAGGGTCAATTGACCTGTACAAATGGCCTATTACATTATAAACTTCCCTTTTCAGCGCATCTATAAGATTTGAATGCCACACTTATAGGCTGGGATCTCCCCAAATCCACCGACTTCTCTAAACAATCAATTAGTTAATAGGCCCTTTGCAGCTATGCAATCACGTGCTGATTAATTCAATGAGAGTAAATGAATGAACATCTTGATTCCCATGGGTGAAATATACTGGAATGCAAACAAACTTTCTACAGCCTGTTTCGAGAGATCATAATAAAACTGCATTTCGTAACACACTGGATACACATGTTTTCATTCAGTTCTTTACAAGTAGCTAAAAAGAATCACCAATTTAATATAAAAACATTTTGCAGTACAGTACAGACACGTGACCGTTAACTGCAAAGGGCCTATTATATGTTTCATAATGTTATCCTGTTACTAACCGTTTTGGTGTATTGCTCAAATGCTTTTTGAGTTTTCTGAAGTATCTTTTTCCATTCAAAATGATAGTGGTTTCAGGCGTAATATTAATGGGTACATCAGACAGGACTTGACGAATAACGTAAAGCCAGTCGATCTGGTGAGAGAAATTTCATTTGTGTTATGGTCATTAAAATTTCATCTCATAGACCTCTTTACCTGGGGCGCAATGTTTTTTTAAACTTTCAGACCGATTCATTCTCTTGAGAATATTATTCTTAAGCCGTATTCATATTCATGTGTCTTCTCATGCACTACCGTTAAACAAAGAAATGATACTCTAGAGAATGACACGTGGTCTCAAATAGGAAAACAGTGCACTCAAGGTGTAGAGGTCAATGCATCAGTTTGGCCTAATATTGTTTTTTAGCTACTTTTACTGTGGGTGGTATTCTACGTCCAAACTCAGTGAGCTAATCCCAACACTTTATCCCACACACACATTGCCATCTCAATCTCTTGGATTGGGTTCTCGATGCGCCCAAAAGCCTCTATTAGTTTATTTCATATATAGTTTTCTAGAATGGACACAGTGCCATTAATTAACGAGCGCAAGGAAAGAAAAAAAGGGTACAGCTAAGTTGAGCAATAAGATTTTTAAATCTTAAAACGTATAAATGCGAAGTTAACTATACCGGGTACGTCATGCATTTAAACTGACAAAAGAATCCGAAATCAGTGCAGGTCTATTCATGTGTGGTGTTGATATGACTTACTGGATTAGTGCCCAGCATGTCTTGTACTTCTTTTATTGTCATCTTATTGTAGTCAATACTCTCTTCTGGCAAGGCACTCTGCACAAATAGATAGATAATACAATAATATTGAAATGCGTAACCAGAGTTGTCCTGGGCTRCCTGTGGATCCCCTTCCCATTGACGGTTTATTTGATTATAATGTCTACAGCTCCACTTCTATTTATAAAATCAAAGGCGCTCTACAATCATAAGAGTTGGTTTTAAAATGTGATGTAGACACTGAGGGTGGTCACTGTGAGTTTATCTTAATAACATGAAATTCAGTGGCCCAATTTGTGTCCCCCCCCCCCCCCCCCCCCTTTTTCCCCCCCCCCCCCCCCCTCGATATCGCCACCCGGTTTGCTCAGTTGGTAAAAGCGTCCGTCTGTTGTACGTGATAATGAAGTGAATACTCGGCGCGCAATGATGAACAAGACTCAGTGGCTTAAAATAGTGTCTCTGAAATCGACGGACGTTGACGGATGATGATGATGATGATGATGATGATTAAATGAAGTGTAGAAGGCGGTACTGCCATTCAAAGTGGTCATCCTAGCCACCTGAAAGTCTAACCATTTGCAGACGTGATTATAAAGACATTGCCCTTTCACCACAGCGTAGCGCGACCGGCGTACAACTGCCAAATGCTCGACCAAAACTCTTGGATTATATACTCATATCAAGCTCTTAAACTTATTCATCTTTCTATCATGGTATACCTTAGCAAGCTTTCTTTCAAAGCGAAGAACCTCACGCAGCATTGATGCAGTTTTCTGAGAGTTTTGAGCTCCTAGAGATAGCGACACATTCATCATGAACTGGCGAAATGTTCTACGATCCTACAAAGAAAACAATTCCAAAAATTTAAACATGTGCATGTAACTTTGTTGCTCACAAAAATTGAATGATTCGTAAACGCTGAATTGATGGTTTTCACGTCGGCCATGTTGGAGGACTTTAACAAAAGAATTGTCAATGAATTTTTTCGTTATACCCTCCAACATGGCCGCCGTGTCTTTTGTTATTTCATTCTCTTAGGAATGGTTGAAAACCATCAATAAATAATAGTGTTCGACTTGTGGCAACGCAAGCCAAACCCACGTGAATTAACGAGAAGAAAGAAAAGCGTCCTTACCTTTGCTCCTCCGTTTTTGGAATTTAGTTTTTCACGAGGGATACTGAACTTAGTCGGCTGTTTAAGCTACAGGAACATTTCATTTAAAAGAGAAAAAATTAAACAATAGGAACTAGTTAGTTGGGCGCAACATTGCATAGGAATGCTCGATACTAATAGTGCACGATACACGCAACAGCTCTCAAGGGAAGACAGTCTTGTGAGAGGCTTTGCTCCATATTTTGATGGCAGCCAAGACAGGAGGCACAACAATAGTTGTTCTACCCTGGGAAACTGAACCTTTCTCATGTAAATCAGATTAGACCCATTTAAATTGTTCCTATTTCCTATAATGGCTGCCATCACGTGATGGTACAAAGCATCTATAATCGAGTGGTACTCTTGTGATGCTGCGCGCAGCCATTGTACTGTGTGTTGAGAAGTAACCTCTTTTCTTCCTTCATATAATCCTTATAAGAACCTTCCCCTCCACCCTATCACACCCCCTCTACCTTCATACATCCTCTCACCACAGGTACTTACACTGATGTAGTAGTAACTGCTGTTTGTCATGCCTAGCTCTACATTAAACTCAAACAAAGATTTTGTTCCGAAATCTTCCAGCATCATAATGAGAACGTCTTGTAGGTTCCAGGCTCTTTCGTCCCAGTTGTTGTCCGTGATGCTCCACGAGCCGTACCGTTGAATGAGAGATTCCATTGGTTGAGCACTTCGCTTGTCTATTGTGTTAGTGTCCATGCAGGACTCGTAGTATTTGAAGGCTTTTATGACTGTTTTGATCTACAATAAACAAAAGATGGAATTATTATTACTACGTATTGGAAAAAAGACATAAGGACGGGACAGGGACAGGACAGGGACAGGACAGGGACAGGACAGGGACAGGACAGGGACAGGACAGGGACAGGACAGGACAGGGACAGGACAGGGACAGGACAGGGACAGGACAGAAGGAAAGGGATAGGGACAGGGACAGGACAGAAGGAAAATGCCGGGTCTAAAAACACAAAAAGGGGTCGGAAAAGCAATAAAAGGACAGAAATACAACAAGGTTTTGCTCTTTTACCTCTCTATACTCATTCCTCGACTTGGAGTTTGCCATAAACTTCTTCAGGAACTCATCATTATCTGCGCGCAGTTTCTCGTATCGGTCAACGGACGCCTTGCCATCATCAGCCGGGTTCTGTTGTATCCAACGACCACATGCGTACTGATAGAAGTCATCACATGGGTYTACAGTAAGATCCATTGAACTGAGGATATCTAAAAATTTACGGAAGAAAAAGAAAAGAACACCATCAAAACTTTGATAGAACCCTGAAGCAACCTCTGGGCTGATCTAAGTCAGGGTATGGCTAACTCACAGATCGAATCCTGAAACAACCCTTTGGCTGATTAATTCAGGGCACATATAACTCACAGATCAAATTGGTATTTATCTAATCAAGAGAGAGACCTAACAAACTCTATACCGAGTCACTCATCGAACCCGACACATCTTCTAAAAGTATAATCCCCCCGACGAGTGGGGATTAAAGTCTATTCAGGATTAACTATTTTATAACCTGATGACATCCCCAATTATGCTGAAATAATAAATTATGCTGAAATAATGAATTCTGCCAAAACCAGATGCACACATCATGGTCTCCCATGGCTAAGCAATGCTACACGCGCAGAGTGCCTAGTCTCCTGCAGGCAGTTGAATGACACCCCGTCGGCTCTGCTTACCCTGTAAACACGAAAAATAAAATCCTTGCCAATTCATCTGGGTCCCCCCCCCCCC